CTTATTCAACATAATACTGGAATTCATAGCCAGAGCAATTAGGCAATAAAAAGAAATAAAAGACAACCATATTGGCAAGGAAGAAGTAAAGCTGTCACTGTTTGTGGATGACACAATTTTATATACAGAAAACCCTAAACATTCTGCAAAAAAAAATTATTAGAAATAAACAAATACAGTAAAACAGCAAGGTAGAAAATCAATATACAAAAATATGCTCTTTTATACATTAACAACTAGAAGAAAAAGAAGTTTAAAAAATCCCATTTACAATTGCAACGAAAAGAATGGAATACCTAGGAATAAATTTAACCAAGGAAATGAAAGACCTGGACACTGAAAACTACAGGACATTACTGAAATTAACTGAAGAAAACACAAAGAAATGTAAAAATATCCCATGCTCATGAATTGGAAGAATTAACATTGCTAAAATACAAATTACCTAATAGAATCTACAGATTCAGTGCAATTCTTATCATACAACTCAATTACAACAGAACAAACAACCGGATTTAAAAATGGGCATATGATCTGAACAATTTTCCATTTAAGACATGGCTAATAGGCACTCGAAAAGATGTTCAACATCACAAATCATCAGAGAGATGCAAATTAAAACCACAATGAGGTTATCACCTCACACATTAGAATGGTTATTATCATAAAAACAAGAAAAAACGAGATGCTGGAAAGGCTGTGGAGAAAAAGGGAATACTCATGCATTGTTGGCGGAAATGTAATTTGGAGCAGCCACTATGAAAAACAGTATGGAGATTCCTCAAAAAATTAAGAATAAAATTACCATATGATCTAGCTATTCCACTTCTGGGTATTCATCCAAAGAATAAGGAAATACTAATTCAAAAATATATATGCATTCCAATGTTCACGGCAGCATTATTAACAATAGCCAAGATGTGGAAACAACCTAAGGCCACTGGTGAATGAATGGATAAAAAAGATATACACACATATATAAACATACAAGACTACTACTCATTCACTAAAAAAAAAAATCTTGCCATTTGTGACAATATGGACAGATCTTGAGGGCATTGTGTTAAGCGAAAGAAGTGAGATAGAGAAAGACAAATATCATATGATTTCGCTCATGGCCGGGCCTGAGCCTTGCAGAGACAATGGGACATAGTGCATGCTCATGCTCAGCTATGTCCGACTCTTTGTGACCCCATGGACTGTAGCCCACCAGTCTCCTCTGGCCATGGGATTTTCCAGGCAAGAATCCTGGAGTGGGCTGCCATTGCTTCCTTCAGGGGATCTTCCTGACTCAGGGATTGAACCCATGTCTTCTGTGTCTCCTGCACTATAGGGGGACTCTTTACCCGCTGAGCCATCAGGGAAGCCCATTTTGCTCATATGTGGCACATACAAAAAATCAGTAAATGAACAATAAAAAATAACATGAAAACAAACACACTGAAACAGAAGATACTGGTAGTCCCCAGAGGTGAAGGCAGGTGGGAGGTGGATGAAATGAATAAAGGGGATCAACTGCATGACGATGGATGGGAACTAGACTTGGTGGCAAACAGCCTGTAGTATATATAGAAGTTGAATTATAATATATACATAAAACATGTTACAGACCAATGTTAACTCAATAAAAAAAATTGGAAAAAAACTAAAGAAAAGAAGTATTAGATGATCCTTTCAAGGAGTTCCTACAAATAAGAGTAAAGAAATAAAGAGGTAGTTGGAATCGTCATATTAAAGTCAAATCTGATCATGTCTCCTGCTTATAATCCTATTTTTTGCACTGCACTCACAATTAAGACATTCTCAGGGAGTTGGGGGAGACAGTAAACAGCCTAGAGATCCTGTCTATACATCTAATATTACAAGGATGTCAGATTTTGCAGTGATGGCAGTAGTGCCCCCTCTACATTGAAATGGATCACCAGAATAGCAGTAGAGAAATAAACTGGGAGGCTTGGTAGAAACTCAAGTGATAATCTACTGGCTACTAGCAGTGGAAGAGAAAAGGAAACAAAACTGGGAAATACTGAAGGCAGAAGCAGCCAGACTAAATGTAGGGAATGAGTCATTTTTTGGAGAACGACTCCAAAGTTTCTGCTTAAGGAACTGGATAGAACAGCTGCATTCACTAATACAAAGGAGGAAATGATTGAAGGAAGAGACAATAGATTTAGTTTCGGATCTTTATATAAAGATGGTCTGAGAAACCAAAGGGGTGGATGAATGAAGAAGAGAAAAGGACCAAAGACATAATCTTGGGAATATCAAGATATAAGAAAGAAGGAAAAGAATAGGAATCAAAGGAAATTGAAGTGTGTTTTATACTGTAAGTCAAGGAAAGAATGTATTTTAAGAAAAAGGAATACCAAATGCTGTAGAAGGATTAAGATACAGACTATAAATATCCATTTGATATAGTAACAAAGATCGCTGGTGAATTTTAGTATGGCCAAAAGCCATGCTGCATTAGACTAAAAATTCGTAAAAAATAAATATTATACAAACAAGCCCCTCAACAAGCTTGGCTAGTAAGGGGAATGAAATTAGAAAAGCAGGGATCGATATAAATAAATCACCCTGAAGAATAATCTAAAAACTGGTGGTGCAGCAGAGATGTACCTAACTGCTCATCAAATCATGTTGCTTTTTCTCGCAGACATTCAGCCACACTACACACGGAACCTGTTTTGCTGTGCTTTTGTGTTAGTGCGCTTTACAGATATACTGAGTTGTTTTTTTTACAAATTGAAGGTCTGGATCAACCCTTCACCAGGCAAGTCTGTCAGTGACATTTTTCCAACAGCATTATTTTTAAATTAAGGTACGGTTTTTTGGACACAATGTTATTGCACACTTAATAGACTACACATAGTATAAACATAACTTTTATATACACAGGGAAACCAGAAGATTCATGTAACTTGCTTTATTGCACTGATCTGCAACCAAACTCATGATATCTCTGAGGTATGCCTATGTATTATTCTAGCTCACTTTGTGGTTAAATGCAGCCATCACTTAGTTCTGGCCAATGGAATGGGGACAGAAGTGATGTAAGCCATCATGTACGCCATGTCTGGTCCATAAAACATGTCTATAGGTGCTCCATCTCCTCTCTCCATCTGTTAGCTGAATGGAAAAGACTCCAAGGACTAGAGGAAGTAAAGTCACAAGATGAAAGGTACAAGACCCCTGCATGTCTGCATGGAGCAACTATCACTTCCTTTACCCCATGCAGACCTCCAAACCAACACAAATTGGATTATGATATGAGTGAGAAATAAAATTTATTGGGTTAAGCCACTAAAATTCTAAAGGCATCTGTTAAAACAGTTAGATTGCTCCAAATAGTGTAGATGGGCAGTATAAACAGGTGTGACTTGGTAACTGATTAGACATAGTTAATAGACTTCAGTTGCTAAAGAATACCTTATGGAATGGCCACATCTGTGATATTAAGATGGAGTTTTAATCAAGAATCAATATTATGAAAGGATATGCCAACAGGAGAAGGAAAATATGTAAACTGGAAAAGGGAACACTCAATGAATTAACAATTTGTCAGTGAGTCTTCAGTAGCTGACCAGCAGGTGGTTGTTTGAAAGGCACATACTGAATATTCTGATAGAGGAAAAGTAATGTATTAGGTTATCTTACTTTTGTGATTTATCATTAAAATTATCCATCAACCTAATTCCTTTTGTTCTGATTCAATGCTCATCCAGCAAATCCTATTTTGGAATTTTGGACTTTACTATAGGAGAGAAATAAGTTGACCAGTAGGCTTGGAGTATCTAGTTTCCTTGATAATTATATTTCTTATCACAATTGACATGAATGTCTTGTGAGCATGATTAGTATAGCTCAGTTGCATTTCAGTCTAATCTACTCAGAGACATTAAAAGAAAAATCAGAGTTAACTTGGAAATTAAGTGGCAGATCATTGTGATGTGAACATTACAAGTAAAATGAATCTGCAGTGTCCAACCTGAGTGGTTCTTAACAAATGTTTTCTTGGACCACCAACACTTAACAAATTATTTGTCATTTGGAAATATCAACCTATAAATTTAAAAACTGACTAAACCATATCTAAGTACTTTGAAAATAATTCCTCTTAACAATTATTATTTTACTAATGAGAAATCTTAGAACCCAAGAAGCTTAAGTGATTGGATTACACAGCAAGACAGAATCTAAAGCTCCTCATTAACTTTGTAAAGTAGCGTCAAAAGAAAAGAAAAAAGACTCTAGTAGTAATTTCTAAGAATTCTAATGGAACTTGTAGAAACAAATAGTGGCCTTTATTTATACAACTGCAAAATAGGTACCATTATATAAAATGCAACAACATACAGTAAAAAGTAAAAATACAATCCCAGGAATTAATAAAAATGGGTGAAACTAAATCATGCTTTCAGAACAAAGTAGAAATATAAGAATAAACTGTCAGCTTTACTGCAGCAACAATAAACAGCAAACTTTAAAGATCTTTAAGCTAAGAATATTTCCAACAAAACAAAGTCATTTGTCTTAATATAAAAAAACTAACTTCTGAATTGTTTAACATTATCATTCATTATCCAAACCAATTACAAAGAATGAAACCAAGTTTCAAAATGCAAATGATTACTAATTAGCATTCTTTTAATACTGTAGGTATGCAGTCCCTTATTTGCACTCAAGAAAGTCCCCACATTTTGAAAACAGAATTTTTTCATAACCCATTTGGTAGTATAAACTGACTGAACTGACATGGCCTGAAGCCACTCAGTCTATTTATCCCATACAGTGAACTACTAAACTTTACTTTGTTGGTAAACTGCATTTTTAAAACAATACACACACTTAAAATAGAGGTTTTCTGACAAAAGCAAAAAGATAAAAGTTTGTATTAGTGCAGGATTCTCCTTATAAATTAACTCTACTCTTCATTCCATTCAGCTGAGATTTAACTCAGGCATGTAAATCAGAAAATTTAGCTTCAGTAATATACTTACACATTTCGGCAAGATATAGGCTTGAGAAAACCAACTTCGTTTCCAGTAAAATGTGTTTCATTGCCACCAAAATCCTTACAAGTTATGTTAGGTGCTGGAAAACACTGTACTAAAGGCAGAAAAAAGCAAGAATCCATTATTTCTTTTTCCTGGGGAAAATTATGTAATTATGCTTTTTTCCTAAGGTTAGCAATGCACACAAGGAAATCTAATGTTCAAACCAACCACCTCCCAATATAAGATATGATATGAGATTTTAATTTGGATAGGAAAAGCTATATTATATATATTCATGTACAAGATAAGATAATGTTCAATCTTCTGCCCCTGACAAAGATGACCAAAGAAGAATTGCATAATATTACTGTCCTTTACTTCATCTCTAGGGTGAAGAATACTTCTCGAATTTTTTGTTGGTAACTCATCAGGCAATTCATTACATAAAACATAATCTGATTTTCTATTTTCAGTTTATAAAATTCTTATAGATGATACCTACAATAAACTAAGATTCTTCTTTATTCTAAATAACTTTTTATTTATTCTAAATGGGTTTGCTTCTCCATTCCCTCTAGGATTTGATGTAGTATGTTATCTCAGCATTTAGCAATTTAATCTTTATTCATAACCCAGATGACTTAATAAGAGGAAGTAACACTTACAGAGCTTACTATGTGCTAAGCAGGTACTGTCCTGAAGCTTTTATGGCCTCATCATATCAAGTAAGAACTTTGGAATGAGAATCACCTATCTGTACATTGCCTCTTTCAGAAACTTGGATTCCATGTAGATAAAAGTAGCACTAAGATCATAAGATTACTGTGGGGATTAAATGTGATATAAATGATCTAGCATAAAGCAGAGCACTTAGTAGGCAATCAATAAATGTTAGTATTTTTCACTCCTTCACCATTTGTGACTAAAAGGTACTAATACCTTTAGGCTAGTTTCAGTAAATGCTTATCTCTATGCTTAACATCAATGATTACAATTTTTTGAGAAAATGAAAATAGAACTTGCTATAATAGACTAAAAAAAAAAAAAAACCCCCACACAGACCCCAGTCTTTTATTATGAAAGAAAAATAAATGGTATTTATTTTCTGTCTACTTTATAATTACCTTAAGATTTCCAACAAATCACTGTCCTTTTTTAGGCCAGGGTAGTACATTGAGATGGAGAAGGCAATGGCACCCCACTTTAGTACTCTGCCTGGAAAATCCCATGGATGGAGGAGCCTGGTAGGTCCATGGGGTTGCTAAGAGTCGGACACGACTGAGCGACTTCACTTTCACTTTTCACTTTCACACATTGGAGAAGGAAATGGCAACCCACTCCAGTGTTCTTGCCTGAAGAATCCCAGGGACGGGGGAGCCTGGTGGGCTGCCGTCTATGGGGTCGCACAGAGTCGGACACGACTGAAGTGACTTAGCAGCAGCAGTACATTGAGAGAATGATGCTAGGAAAAATACCCTGTAATGACTTTGCACTCTTTGGTTGTGTTACTGATAGTTCAAACTATACCGTCCCATAAACTTTACTTATTTAATGTATTTACATTTCTAACACAAGAAGGTGCTTATGCTAGAAAGCACAGATTCAGTAAAACTGAGAACAATTTAGACAAGAAGGAAGGTAATAAAATGAAAGGAAGAGAGAGTGAAGAAATAATTATCCTAGGAAACAACTAAGGGAAGACAGTGTAATTAACCACAAATGTAGCTTAGAGGCTCCTGGTAGTAAGGCAAAAACAGCTACAGAGCTACTGTGATATAACTGAAAGCATACCAATGCACCTCTAAACCACTGTGGGAACTTGGTTTGGTACATGACACAAGAGTAAAGGAATGTAACAGAGAAGGTCCTTAATAATAAGAACCTTTACAAAACAATAAAAGTTTTCCACATAGCCTTTTCTCACACTGACTACAGATATAAGCAAGGGCTTATAATGTTAGGATTGACAGAGATAGGGCAACAAAAGTCAACAGATGATTTATATGTAGCCGTCTGGCCATCTGCCTTGAGACAGGGATAAAGCTTACTGATTTTCGTGAATCAATCATTATCACATCCCTTAAGTTATATCTCTTGGTCTGCCATCTTAGGTCATGCTTTTGACTGGAGCTATATGGCAGACAGCTTCCCAGGCAACACAGTGGTAAAGAATCCACCTGCCAATGTAGGAGACATGAGAGAAGCGGGTTCAATCCCTGGGTTGGGAAGATCCTCTGGAGGAGGGCATGGCAACCCACTCCAGTATTCTTGCCTGGAGAATTCCGTGGACAGAGAAGCCTGGTGGGCTATAGTCCGTGGGGGTCACAAAGAGTCGGATACAGGTAAGCGACTGAGCACAAGCACGAGCATGTAGCAGACAACTGAAAACTGAGATTAACAAACACCTGAAATGCTAATGCATTTTCTATGTCACCGAGTGACAGGAGAGGAGCATGCTCTGTTTAAACGGTGGAGGAATGACAGGAAGTAATTTTGCTTTCAGGGGATATTTGGCAACGTCTGGAAACGTTTTTGGTTGTCACTACTGGGAAAATGATACTGACATCTAGTGGATGGAGGCCAGGATGCTTCTACACCTTCTACAAGGCACAAGATCGCCTCCTCACAATAATTATCTAGCCCCAAACATTACTAATGCTAAGGCTGAAAAACAATGTTCTAGATCAGCTGTGTTCAAAAAATTTTGCTCACACACTCCCCAAAATTTTTTAAAACTATATATTCCCTCACACATTTTTAACTGACATCTAAAATTTTTCACCATGGATTTAAATAGCTGGGAAAAATTTTATTTCCACCATACTGTAAATGCTGCCCTTAATATTGAAATATTATAACATTCTTTACAGTGGACTTTAAACACAGCAATTTGATATGTACCATGATCCAACCAAGAATATGAAAGGGCTCTTCTTTTAAATTCAGAACTTTTACATTAATTGTAGGAAAAAATACACATAAAACTGATTCTCACTGATGTATGACAGAAAACCACAAAATTCTGTAAAGCAATTATCCTTCAACTAAAAAATTAAAAAAAAAAAAACACATAAAAAAACAACTGAGGATCTGGAAACTGATTATTGTAAAGACATACTGTGGGCTGAATTGCACTCTCCCAAAAAGATATATTGAAGTCCTAACCCTCAGCACCTCAGAATGTGACCTTACTTCGAAATAGCATCTTTGCAAATTTAAGTTTGCAATCCAACTTTGCATCCAAATTAAGATGAGGTCATTAGGGTGGGCCCTAATGCAGTAAGATGGGTATCCTTCAAAAAGGGGAAAATGAACATACACAGGCAGAAGATGATGTGAAGGCATGCAGGCAGGATGCAGTATGAAGACAGAAGCAGAGATTAGACTGATGTGGAGCTTTCCCTGGTGGTCCAGTGATTAGGACTTGGGACTTTCACTGCTGAGGACCCAGGATAATTCCCCTAGAGGCTTTGTCCAATATACTTTGCTTTAGAGAAATGCACTGTTTTTTGAGATTACAGCTTCCTTTACAAAATTTTAAAAGATTAAACATTTATGGAGGTGGGCATGCGTGCTTGTCAGTCATATCTGACTCTCTGTAACTTCATGGGCTGTAGCTCGACAGGTTGCTCTGTCCATGGGATTTCCCAGGCAAAAATAGTGGAGTGGGTTGCCATTTCATCTTCCAGGAAATCTTCCAGGGATCCAGGGATCAAACCCATGAAACTCCTGCGTCTCCTGCATTGCAGGCGGATTCTTTACCACTGAGCCACCTGGGAAGCTTCCATTTATAGGTGAGTTGTAAAAATGCTTTATAAAAATATGAAAAACAAATAAATCATAATTTTTGTTAGATTCTATTAATTGTTCAAACTCTCAAATTTTGACAACTTTAGTTTTCAATGTATTTTATCATTTCTAGAATGATAAATTTCTAGAATGGAATTAATTCAATGGATGCCTACAGCCCTAGAATTTATTCATTTTTACATATTTTATAGTGACTTCATTTGATCCTTATTTTTAAAAAAAACCTGTTATGTAGACAGAACTAGTAATATGCTTTTAATTTTTTTCCTTGTACAAACAGAAAAATTGACATTCCAAGAAATTAAACGAGCTGACCAAAGTCTCACACTAGGTAATATTCTTTAAGTCCTAGACTAACATTTATCACTTTTAATCAACACCCGTTTCATTACACCACAATAATGCCATGCTTACACTGATTTCAGAAACAAGTAAAAATAAGTCTGTATGGTGAGATTTAAGAAGCCAGTTACCCATAAATGTTAACTAGTGGACAAAATTAAGCAACATGCTACAATCCTGAAAATTATTTCATTTGCAGTTTTCTTGCAAAATGTTTGACTCTGGCCAATGACTGGGATTTAAATGGCATCAACCTGTCATCAACGATGCAATGGACATGAACTTGGGCAAACTTCGGGAGATGGTGAGGGACAGGAGGCCTGGCGTGCTGCAGACCATGGGGTCACAAAGAGTCGGACGTGACTGAGTGAGTGAACAACTTAGCCTTGATAGACAGTATTTCTTGATTGTATAAAGCAGAACTATTTTTTCAAGCACAAAAAAGCTAAACTCAAAATAATCAATGAAGTTTCATAACAGTAAAAAGGAGTGACCTAGACAGGAAATGGTGTGGGATTCTACTCTAGTTATAAAATTAAAAGACATTTACTACTTGGAAGAAAAGCTATGACAAACCTAGACAGTGTATTAAAAAGCAGAGACATCACTTTGCCTATAAAGGTCCGTATAGTCAAAACTGGGGTTTTTCCAGTAGTCATATATTGATGTGAGAGCTGGACCATGAATAAGGCTGAATGTCAAAAAATTGATGTTTTTGAAATGTGGTGCTGGAGAAGACTCTTGAGAGTCCCTAGGACTGCAAGGAGATTCAACCAGTCAATCCTAAAGGAAATCAATCCTGAATATTCACTGGAAGGATTGATGCTGAAGCTGCAACTCCAATACTTTGACCACTTGATGAGAAGAACTGACTCTTTGGAAAAGACCCTGAAGTTGGGAAAGATTGAACACAGGAGAAAGGGATGACAGAGAACGTGAGATGGTTGGACGGCATCACTGACTCAATGGACAGGAGTTTGAGCATGCTCCAGGAGATGGTGAAGGACTTGGCATGCTGCAGTCCATTGGGTCACAAAGAGTCCGATATGACTGAGCAATTGGACAACAACAACAATATTTAAGTGTACTTTTGCATAAATATATTTCAATAAAATCTTAATAAAAAAGACCTGTGTCAAAGGACCAGAGCAAAATTTCTGGAAATGGGTTTTTAATACTTTTGTATTTTACTGATTAGAAAATTGAAAACACTTGCTATATATGTCAATATGTGTATATATATGTACTAGACAGCACACTCCTTGAGGGCAGAAATCGTCTTTTTGTTTATGTATCATCTCTACCACTTAGCAAAATGCCATATAATAACATCTAAATAAATTAAATATTTTCCCAATAATAGATAGTTTTGTGTTTCCCAGGTGGTGCTAGTGGTAAAGAACCTACTGGCCAATGCAGGTTCAACTCCTAGGTTTCGAAGATTCCCTGGAGGATGGAATAGCAACTAACTCTAATATTCTTGACTGGAGAATCTCATGGACAGAGGAGTCTGGTGGGCTATAGTCCATAGGATCGCAAAAAGTTGGACCTGATTGAAGCGACTTAGCATAGCACACACAAGACAAGGACATAACAGAAGCAGATGTGATTAAGAAATTGTGGCACAAATACAAAAAAGAACTTCACAAAGAAGTCTTAATGACCTGGATAACCACAATGGTGTGGTCACTGGCCTAGTCAGACATTTTGGAGTGTGAAGTCAAGTGGGCCTTAGGAAGCATTAAAACAAACAAGCTCGTAGGGGTGATGGATTTCCAGCTGAGCTATTTCAAGTCCTAAAAGATGATGCAGTTAAACTGCTGCACTCAATGTGCCAGCAAATATGGAGAACTCAACAGTGGCCATAGGACTGGAAAAGGTCAGTTTTCTTTCCAATCCCAAAGAACGTTCAAACTATCATACAACTGCACTCATTTCACATACTTGCAAAGTAATGGTCAACATCCTTCTAGCTAGGCTCCAAAAGTACATGAACCAAAACCTTCCAGATATACAAGCTGAGTTTAGAAAAAGCAGAGTATCCAGAGATCAAATTGCCAACATCTGCTGGATCATAGAAAAAGCAAAATTCCAGAAAAAGACCTACTTCTCCTTCATTGACTATGCTAAAACCTTTGACAGTGTGGATCATAACGAACTATGGAAAATTCTAAAAAAGATGGGAATACGAGACCACCTTACCTGTCTCCTAAAATACCTGCATGCAGTCAAGAAGTAACAGAACCAGACGCTGAACAACAGATGGATTCAAAATTGGGACAGTACGACAAGGCTGTATATTGTCACTCTGCTTATTTAACTTCTATGCAGAGTACATCATGCGAAATGCCAGCTGGGTGAATCACAAGCTGGAATCAAGGTTGCCCGAAGTATCAACCACCTCAGTTATGGAGATGATACTACTCTAGTGGCAGAAAGCAAGGAAGAACTAAAGAACCTTTTGATGAGGGTGAAAGAGGAGAGTGAAAAAGCTGGCTTAAAACTCTACTTCAAAAAGTTCATGGCATCCGGTCCCATCACTTCAAGCAAACAGATGGGAAAAAGTTGAAACAGTTATATATTTTATATTCCTGGGCTCCAAAATCACTGCAGATGGTGACTGCAGTAAAATTAAAAGATGCTTGCTCCTTGGAAGAAAAGCTATGACAAACTTAGACAGCATATTAAAAAGCACAGACATCACTTTGCTGACAAAGGTCTCAATAGTGAAAGCTATTTTTTTCCAGTAGTCATGTATGGATGTGAGAGTTGGACCATAAAAAAGGCTGAGTGCCAAAGAATTGATGCTTTTGAACTGTGGTGCTGGAGAAGACTCTTAAGAGTCACTTGGACAGCAAGGAGATCAAACCAGTCAGTCCTAAAGGAGATCAGCCCTGAATGTTCATTAGAACCACTGATGCTGAAGCTGAAGCTCCCATACTTTGGCTACCAGATGTGAAGATTTGACTCATTGGAAAAGACCCGGATGCTGGGAAAGATTGAGGGCAAGAGGAGAAAGGGGTGACGGAGGAGGAGATCACTGGATGGCATCACAGACTCAATGGACATGAGTTTGAGCAAACTCTAGGAGACAGTGAAGGACAGCAAAGCCTGGCATGCTGCAGTCCATGGGGTCACAGAGTCAAGCATAACAACTGAACAGCAATAACAGACAGTTTATAATATAAATTTTCACTTTTGTTTTGATCCATTTAATTATTTTAATTATTAAACTATTTGTTACCAACAATCTCTCAAAAAATAAAGATGCTTGTTAACTGGTATTGGGCTAACTGACAACCATAAAGACCACAATAGTTTACTGTTATAATTGAACCTCCTTTGCCTTTGGTCCCAATTCTTACTCTATACTCCTAAACTTCCCTCTCTGTAAAACATTCCATCCACTAATTCCTTACCAAAAAGTATAGCTTAAGAAAATTAAATTTAGTCTGAAGATTCTGTGAGTCTATCATACGCTCAATGAATAAAACAGAAGAAGCATGTTTCAAGGGTCATTTTGATGTCCTCGCAGGTCAGGACTCAGAAATAATTCACAGCCACTCCACTAGTCTTTTTATGTTTTAAAAAGGAAATTAAAAAAAAAGCATCCAGTGGACAAACACAGCTTCCTGATAGGGACAGGCTAGTAGAGCCTATCCCAGATCTTGGTTGAACACTTTTGGGTCATGCATAAATTATACATTCATATGTAGAAGCCTGGTGAGTCATATTTGTCTCAGAAACTTTCTTTTTAAAATCATAATAACAATCTAAAGTCATTTATTTATTGATTTAGAACATTTTATATATGTGTTCCCAGACTGTTAGGCACTTATGGCTTATTCCCTCCAAATAAATAACCATACTATTCCTTTATACAGAAAGCCTTCCTTTTATTTCTCTGCAGCTCTCCATTTACATCACTATGATTACTTACCTGAAAGGCTATGACAGGACCATAACACCTCTAAGTCCTTTTATATTTCCTAGCAATCTGATAATTTGATTTTGTATTTGTTTATAAACTTACTTAGTGATAATATTTAAGTGGATTCAAACTTATTTTACAAAAGAGACACCTAACCGAGGGCAGAGCTCTTTTTGGTCAGAAACTATTCTTTTTAGTTGTAATTTCCTTCAAAATTTATTCTAAATATCCTTTTTAGAATAACTCCCTTCAAAATCTTCATACCTACAAGGAAATCTGCAGACTAGAAAAGACATGAGATAGCAGGCTGCCTCATTCCTAGTTTAATGTTACCCGAGTCACAATAGTATTCAAAGACTTCCAACCTATATAAGTGGTTGGATATCTGAAAGCTGATTCTTCTTTATGTATGTCAACAATATTCTCCATTCTGAGAGCACACTATGAAAGACTGAACTCTGACACAGGAAAGTCAGTGTATACTTATAAAGCAAGTTAAAAAGGAGGGGACTATGTGCAAAGTTCCTTTAAGTCTAACATATCCTAATTAAATAAATGTACACATATTGAGCAATATTGACTATAAAAATCATATATACATATTACCTATTACTGTTTATATGATAAATTTCATTACTCCAGAATATTAGCAAAATATCTGCTATAAAAGTTGGACGCAACTTACTTTCAAATCTCTTTGCTTATCAGAATGGGGCTAACAGTGTCAAGATGTGAAGAGATAAAAAGATGAGATCTTTTTAAAATATATACCAAGTCATAATCAAGAAGTCAATTATTTGGCTATAAGATACTTTATAAAAACAAAGTTTTTGCAGTAAGAAATCACTTTAATCTCATTTCCATGAGTCTGTTTAGTAGCTTTCATTTATAAAGAAAACATCAATCATTACCTTATTTCCCATCTAAACAATAAAACAATCAGTATATATTCAGTAAGTGCTCTTTTCTCAAGATAATACTAGATTAAATAGTAGATATTACTAGATATTAAATACTAGGTATTAACCAAATTATGTACCATGCCAGATATGAATGCCAAATGCAAATAGCTCCAGCACACATCTATCTACCTCCTTTCCAACATATAACCCTTCAGAAGAAAAGGCTGAACAAAACAACTTATTAATCTTTATTTGGCATTAAATACTTTTTGGAATAACAGAAGCTCCCTCACATCATTAGGTTGAGGGTGTTATCCACTATCAAACCATCTTGCTAATAAAATACTGATGTGCACTTAAAATCCTTAACATATTGTTTTCATACTTAGGATGTACCTAAGTATATTTTACAAGTGCAAGATATGGGTGATATATTACCAGCTCCTCGCTGCACATTACTGAACTGTAAGTCTCCTTTCAAGTTCTTTCTAAGTAATTAAAAATCTAAAGAGGCATCTTTGTAAAACACAGCATGATAAATGCAAGGCATCAAGAAAGCTATATAAACTGATTCCAAAAGCTTTAAAAAAAAAGAATGAAAATAAAAAATCTCTCAATTTATATAATTATTTAATAGAATGAGATTTTTTAAAAAAATATTAACAACCCGTAGCTGTTCTCTAATATTAAGTTACTCTGGAAACAGAAGGATGAAGTAACTCAAGAAAAAACACATTTATTAATTACTTTTAGCAATCACACATTCATCTATGAAATAATGTTTTAAAAATAATTAAAAAAAAAAAATGTTTCTGGAAGTCTTACCATAAGCTGTGTAGTTTGTACAGTTAACTGGTTCTTGTGTAGCATCATTTATTTTTGGATCTTTACAAATATATGTAGAAAAGTTAAGGAAATATAAACAACATTCCAATACACAACGTTATCATCTTGTCTTTAATATGTCATATATTTATGTTTATAATTACATGTAAAGAGAGGATGTTAGTTTGTCCAGGTCAAGAAGCACAAGCACAGATACACTTTCAGTGTCACTAAATAGTATGAACATTAATTTATTTAAGGAAAAGTACATTAAAAGCTCTAGCAGAGGGTGCCATCCTTAAAGAACATCAGTCAGGGTTTAAGCACAAAGCACAAAGCACAAAGAAAAAATGAAAGTAAAAATGTCCACCGAAGTATTATGCGCGAACTTCAGGTTAAAAAAAAAACAACAAATCAGTTTCCGGATGTCTGATGAAATAATTCACAGGGCCCAAGTATTACCATACATATAATTTCATACAACACAAATAGCCCTGTGACATGGGATACTATTATTTCCGCATTACTGAAGCAAATGGGGGCTCACACTCTGACTTATGCAAAGTGGATTAAGTGATAGGTAGTAATATCACATTTCCTGATTCCAAGCCAAAGGTAAATTCCATCATACTGCAAGGAAGAAGGTTATTTTAGGTGGGTCTACAGGATCTTCCCAACAGGGTTTTAAGCTTTTGGAAACATATAATATTGATTCTCTAATAGATGTTTACAACACTCGGGGCACGAGGCGGAGGGGGTGGTGCTTTTCTGTTCCCTGAATATTTTATTGACACAAATATGAGGTAAGTAAAGTATTCACAACATGTCTGTGTAGACAGACTTTGACACCTGCTTTGGGTTTCTGAATCACTATTGGAAATCTCATCTTTGTGCCAGGAATAACATTTTCCAGTTCACATCATCTTGTATGCTCAGTCACTTCAAAGGTTCAAAAAGCACAACTCTCCTAGTAGTCCAGTGGTTAAGATTCTGTCTGCCACTGCAGGGGACATGGATTTGATACCTGGTCCAAGAAGATTCCACATGTTGCAGAGCAACCAACCCCTTGCACCTTGAGCCCACGCTCCATGACCAGAGAAGGCACCACAATGAGAAGCCCTCACAGCGCAACTAAAGAAAGCCAGAGAGCAGCAACAAAGACCCAGCGCAGCCAAAAATACAAATTAATTCAAGTTTTAAAAAATGATGATTAAAAAAAATTTTTTTAAAGCACAAGTCTTCATACTGCCCAATTATTTTACTAGAAAAAAAAAATCACTGTGACATTTTTGCCAAAAAAAAAAAAAAAGACTCAACTTACCAGGTCAGTGATTCTCAAACTCCTGGCATAACGGTAATCAGCAAATTAGAGCTATTCTGTAAAAACTTAGTAACGGTGGCCTCTCAACTCACATAGAAATACTATACAATAAAAAAAAAATACTATACAATAGAATTTTCTTAAGATTTCCTCTCACAGAATCTTTCTTGCATCTCTGGCTTCTGTTCTTAATTTTTCTGTTCTACAATTTGTATGAAATTATCTAATTTTATACAAAAGTACCTAGTTTGATTTGAATGTAACTCCCATTTCATATTCCTCCTCCCTTTATCAGAGCCATGACAATGAACAGATCTATTTAACTCCTCCAGCCTCAGTTTTCTCATCAGTAAGCACATGAGAGCTAAACACGTATAGCCCCTACTATGTGCCAGTCACTGTTCTAAGTGACTTAGTGGTCCTAATTTAGCTCAACACACCTTTCAGTTGGTACCACTGTTTATTTTCATTGTTCAGTCGCTAAGTCGTGTGGGACTCTTAGCGATCCCCAAGCTCAAAGCTCAAATCGGTCACAAAGGGGAGCAGGAATTTGCCCCAATACAGTCTGGGATTTCAAGGAGATTGAGATGCCCTGCCCTCCTCCAGGGGATCTTCCTTGTCTCCCCCTGAATCAGCAAATTTCCAGAATCGGGTCTGTCTTTTAACTTAATTCTAATGCCTAAAAACATGACCTGACAAACTTCAGTATCTACGTGTTTGTTGAACAGACAAACCCACTGACTAAAAAAATTAAGAAAGAAAGAAAGGTGGATCAGAAGAAGAGCCAACGATCAGTAAAATCCCAAGGAAATCTCACAGGCGAGCCTCTGTGCTCTCACCCCCACATTTCTCCGCACTCCCCGCCCCAGGCCCCTTCGGTCATTAGAGGTCACAGGTCACCGTTCCCTTCAGCACAACCCTAGCCCGACCTGAGGGTTCCTATCCACTCTCGACTCCAAATCTACCTCACCCCCACGGGGTGCTCCTCACAGAGGATATTGTCCCAGTTTGAGGTCCTCGCACTTAAGTGTTTCTTCGCCGCCTCCGGCGGCAGCTCCCCAAGGGCCCGTGGTGACTGACACGAACCACAGGACGCCCAGGAGCCGGGCGGCAGCAGACTCAGGAGCAATCAGCCTGCAGGGACAGGCGGCCGCCATGCTGGGGACCGGCGCCTTCCCTACAACTTCCGGTTCCGCCTACGCCTAGGCCTAACCAGGAGTCTGGTAGAGGGAGGGAGGCTCTTAAAGGGACAGTGCATCTATTAGAGGCAGGTCCTTCCCCTAGGCCTTCGGAATTACTTTGGAGAGCTTCCATTGGTCTCTGAAAAGCCGGAAGCTTTTTTTTTTTTTTTTTTTTTTGAGAAGCAGGACGGCTTCTCTCTTGGAGAACCAGCTGTCCTCCTTGCACGGCTGACTCCCAAGCTAATCTTTCTGTGACTTTTCCGTCTGTAAAGGTACCGGCGGCGCCGGGCGATTTGATAAACACTTTACAAGCATCTCTGTTAGTCTGGTAGGATTTGGGTTTACAGATAACGAACCAAACTCAAGGGCGCTGAAGAGCGTGTTGAGTTTAGTTACTGAGTTGGAATAGAACTGATGTTTGCCTGATTTCAGAATGTGTGCTCTTAGATGGCCTCTTTCGGAAGGCTGCTACGAGTAAATCTTGAGGACTTTGATTCACAAAAATAAATGTTATACTTTTCTTTTTTAAACAAATTTCATATCTTGGTTTTTTTTTATGTTTTAAACTTTTTAATTATTTTCACAACTTTATTTTTACAGCGAACATTTAGGTGAGGGAAAGGGCCTAAAATAAGAGGAGACCAATGGGTTTATGACTAATCTAAGTGAAGAGTTAGAGGGTTTTTTCCTTGTCTTTCTAAATTTCCATGTATTCTGAAAAGTTATGTAATGGGGTTATCTTTTATACCGAACAAACTGTGTACTTTTTTTTTTAAGTGATAATTTAATCATTTTTCTCTAACCTGAAAACATTTGAGTCTGAGTGGTGCCTCTTCATCAACAGCAGGACTAATTTTGAATAGTTGTGCAGTGGTTCTCAAACTTTAAGAAGCATCAGTATCGCCAAATAAATGCAGACGGCTGGGCCCGTCTGTTTCTGACTCTGAAGATCTAGTATTGTTGTTCAGCTGGCAAGTCAAGTCTGACTCTTTTCGACCCCGTGGACTGCAGCAAGCCAGTCCTCCCTGTCCTTCCCCATCTTCCGAAGTTTGCTCAAACTCATGTCCACTGAGTAGGTAATGCTAATCAACCATCTCATCCTCTGTTGCCCTCTTTTCCTCCTGCCCTCAGTCTTTCCCAGCATCGGGTTCTTTTCCAATGAGTTGGCTCTTTGCATCAGGTGGACAAAATATTGGAGCTTCAGTTTCCACATCAGTCCTTCAGTGAATACTCAGGATTGATTTCCTTTAGGATTGACTAGTTGAATCTCCTTACAGTCCAAGGGACTCTCAAGAGTCTTCTCTAGCACCACAGTTCAAAAGCATCAATTCTTAGACACTCAGCCTTCTTTTTGGTCCAACTCTCACATCTCTACATGGCTACTGGAAAAAAAAATAGCTTTGACTATATGGACATTTGGTGACAAGGTGATGTCTCTGCTTTTGATATGCTATCTAGGTCTGTCATAGCTTTTCTTCCAAGGAGCAAACATGTTTTAATTTCATGATTGCATTCACAGTGATTTTGGACCCCCACCCCCACCTCGCCAAAATAAAATCTGTCACTGTTTCTACTTTTTCCCCTTCTCTTTTCCATGAAGTGATGGGACTAGATGTCATGATCTTAGTTTTTTGAAGTTGAGTTTTAAGCCAGCTTTTTCACTTTCCTCTTTCACCCTCATCAAGAGGCTCTTTGATTCTTCTTCGTTTTCTGCCATTAGAGTGGTATCATCTGCATATCTGAGGCTGTTGATATTTCTCCTGGCATTCTTGATTCCAGTTTGTGATTCATCCAGCCTGGCATTTTGCATGATATACTCTGCATAGAAGTTAAATGAGCAGGGTGACAATATACAGCCTTGACATGCTCCTGTCCCAATTTAGAACTAGTCTGTTGTTCCGTGTCTGGTTCTAACTGCTTCTTCTTGACTTCTTTCTCAGGAGACAGGTAAGGTGGTCTTATATTCTAATCTCTTTAAGACGTTTCCACAGTTTGTTGTGATCCACACAAAGGCTTTAGTGCAGTTAATGAAACAGAAGTAGATGTTTTTCTGGAATTATATTGCTTTCTGTATGATCCAGCGAATGTTGGCAATTTGATCTCTTGTTTGTCCGCCACTTCTAAACCCAGGTTTATGTACTGCTGAAGCCTAGATCTAGGATGTGGCATGATAATTTGCATTTCTAATCAGCTGACTAGTGATGTTGATATTACTGCCTCAGAGACCACACTTTGACAACCTGGAGATAATGTATTACAAGATAGGTCATTTTTGAATGAGAAGACATGAAACTATTTGCAATAATACCTTAGTATTATAACTACATTAAAAATTTTTCTTAAACCAATTTTGCAGCATTACTATACTGTTTTAAAAATTAAAACATGTATGTCTAAAGACTTAAGTGATAAGGAATTTGAAAGTTACTAGTTCAAATTTTAAACTTCCTTTAATTGGACTTACCCTTTCCTTTTCCCCCTTTTCCTCCCTCTCTCCCTCCCTCTCTTCTGTCCTCCTTTCCTTTGTTCTTTCCTTCCTCCCTCCC